GGGAGGGTGGAGGGAAGGTGGGGTAGAAAGGGGGATCACAAGGATCTCCGTATGACCCCCTCCCTAGGGGATGGACAACAGAAATGTGGGTGATGGGAGACGTTGGACAGTACAAGACATGATAAAATAATAATAATTTATGAATTATCAAGGGTTCTTGAGAGAGGGGGGAAATGAGCTGATTATCAAGGGCTCAAGCAGAAAGCAATATTTTGAGCATGATGATGGCAACAAATGTACAAATGTGCTCGATACAATGGATGGACGTATGGATTGTGGTAAGAGTTGTACGAGTCCCCAATAACATGACTTTCTAAATAAATGAATAAAACATGGGTGAGAAGAACGAAAGGAGAAACGCTAGCTGCTCTGATTCCACACAAGTTAGCGCACAGCACAAGCACGGCCACGGTCAGGCAGAGACCCAGGCGTCCGGCTGAGAGCATCTAGAATGCCGCCCAGCCACGGCAGTAACTGCACGCCCAGGAACCCGCCAGAAACCTCCCAAAGGCATGCGACACCAACCACATACGGACCGAGAAACCACCCACCTCTCCCAACAACAGGAGAGTCTGAGGCAGCTCCAACATGAGCAACGGGGTTTCTGACTTTTTGCTGGCACCGAAAGCTGGCAGAAAAGAGGATGTGTTGATAGCAACACGTTTTCGTAAAAGCTGCGCCAGCACATGCCTGTGCGCGGGGAAGAGCCTGGGAACCTGCTGGCCCCGGCTGGCCCTGGGGCTCTGGGGCTCTGGGGCTCTGGGGGCTGCTCACCCGAGGGAGGTGCGTACTTGTTTCATGGGCCAGATGGCTCCCTGAGCAACTCAGCTTCCTGGCTGGGTGATGGGGGTGGGGGTGGGGGCTGTGTTTACAGCCACGGAGAAAAGGGGGCTTCTGGGTTGGCAGGGCTCCATCACATGGTGCTGTACCCCACTCAGACGCCTTGGGTCCAGCTACCAGCTGGGCAGCCAGCCTGCATGGGCTCCTACCCTCCGAACACCTACTCGATGGAGCAAACCAAGGAGACTTCGTCCAGACCCATGATGCTGCTCTAATCCGTTGGCCAAAAGCAGCTGCAGCGGCACCCCTGGTGCACCCTTCCCCCAAGAGCCCAGAGCACGTGCTGTCCCCACCCCTACCGGAGGTCCTTCCTGATCCTTACGCAGCCTGTCCTCCCCCTACTCTGTCTGCTCTCTGCCCCTCTCTGCCCTAGCTGGGGCAAAGGGTCTGGGTTAGCAAAGACGAGGGAATCCCCGGGTACCCAGGTTCCCCCACAGAGAGAGGGAGCCTGAGCCCAAGCAAGGGTAGGCTCAGCCCCACGGCTGTCCACGCCCCTAGCCCTACTTGGAGAAGATGACCATCAACTTCCTCCGGCTCCGCCGCGGCTCCAAGTCCTCATGGAATTCCTCTCGGGCCTTGCCCAAGAAGACTTCCTGGTGGAATTCCTTGTTGAGGTGCCCGTCCATCTCCATCTTGACCCCGTTCAGGTGGTCCGGGGGCAGGATCTCGTTCTCTTCCCTGTTGGGCGCCTTCTCCCGGCTGGCCGAGTGGTTGGCGGGGCGTGCAGACACCAGGAGGCACAGGCCCAGGAAGCAAAGGCAGCGGAAGGCTCCACTGCAGGGGGAGGTCAGCCAGGACACCATGGCCCCGCCGGACATCACTGTCAGCCAGCCGTAACAGCACAGGAGGGCCTGTAGGTGTGGGCAGAGTCTGTAGAGGAGGGAGGGCACAGGGGGGGAGGGCCGAGAGGATCAGAACCCATGGAAATTCCCGTCCCCCAGGCCACATGACTCCTTTAGTAGCAGGGGAGAGGGTCCCAAGGGGAGAGAGGCCCTGAGGGGCACCCAGCCAATGGGACCTCAGCAGAAAGCCCTCTGAAGGTGCTGCTCTGTGAGGAGTAGCGAGTCCTTCACAGGTGGGAATGTCTGCCCCCCACCCCAACTTAGAAAACACAGCCTGGTGGTGTAGTGGCTGCACCATGGGCTGTGAACCGCAAGGTCAATAGTTCAAAACCACCAGCTGCTCTGCGGGAGAGAGACGGGTCTTTCCACACCAGTAAAGAGTCAGTCTCCTAAACTCACAGAGGCAGTTCTACCCTGTCCTATGGGGTCACAATGCGTTGGCTTCAATTCAATAGCAGTGAGCCTCTTTCCCAGGGCCCTTCGAGCTGAAGGTTCCACCCAGTCCCATCAAGGCCAGGACAGACAGTCCCCTAAGGCCTGCTCATCTCCCCGTGGCTGGCCTACAAAGGCTTGGTCAGTACTTGCTACTGTCTCACCAAAGTCACCCTGATGAGTGCCCAGGTCAATGGCGGGTCACGTTCACACAGGGCCAGGGCTCCCAAGGTCTTACGCTCCACCATGCCCAGGGTCTCATCTCCAAAGACAGGCGACACCTCATCCCCAATAGCTTCCCAAGAAGGGATCCACTTTCCCAAGAAATTCTGCCTCCCCTCCACCCCCAGCAGTTTCCTCATTCTCCAAGGCTCCTCAGGGAGTGGTCTCGGGATGCTGTCTGTTGCTCTGTCCATACCCAAAAGGAATTTTCTGTCCCTGGGAAAGACCCCAGGCTGAGGCTGCCTGTCCTTCTGGTTCAGCTACAGGCCCTGCACATGGGCACACAGCCAGCAGGCGTCTGAGCAGTGGGTCTCACTGGCCTGCACACACAAACAGCACCACTGGCTTCCCTGCCCTGGGTGACAGCATGTCCTGCAGCGCCAACCCCTCAGCATGCCATCTTCTCATCCCAAACACCTGGTCTCCGTGATGGCTCTTGCTCTCTGGGGGTCCCTCTAAGAGCAGTCTGTGTCCCTCTTCCATGGAAGCCTGCCCTTTACCCGACTCCACACACAGTACCCTCCTCTCTGAGTTTGTCTGTAGTGACCACTAGGGACTGCCCCCTAGCATGTGACCCATCACCCCCTTCAGTCCAAGGGCTGAGTGCTTGAACCACTGCATCTCCGGGCTCCTCAGTTCCTACCAAGCGGTTGACAAGCCCTTGACTGCTGGGTGGGAACTAAAGAGGGGGCGTGGACAGGTTGGAGACTCCGTTCAGAATGTCCAGCAGCAGCAGCAGGGGTCATGTTTCTGGCCCACACAAACCACCCCC